TTACGCCTAAATTATAATTATTTTACTTTTTTCTCTCACAAAATTATAAAAAGCTAAAAATTCTTTTCAAATGGAACTTTTTTAGTCAAGTTAATTTATTTTTATTTTTATTTAAAAAAGGCTAAAAAGGTTCTTTCCAAATGAAGGCTAAGATTTTATAATATAAATGACATGTAATATTTTTATAATAGTTGGGATCCCTCAGCATTTTGAAATAAAAATTTCTCTTCACAAAGAAATTTGTCTTCAAAGAGAAATATCAACTATTCAAAGAGAAATTTCATAGAGAAATTTATATAATATTGTTATTGAGGGACCTTAACTAATAAAAAAAATATATTCAACCTCTTCTACTATCAAAAATTGGCAAGGGATATTTCACTAATTTTTTCATATTAATAAGTCCTATTAGGAAGATAGGTACATCAATAAGTCCTCTTGACTTTTTGGTGCACCAAAAAGTCCTATTCTCCTTTAATTGTTAGCACAAAGCTCTATTTTTATTTTGTAAGTAACAATTTTATAAATAAAAAAAATATCACTAATTGTTAATTTTAATGACTATTGAAAAATTTATCACCGAAAAATATTAGTAATTGTCATTCTTTTAGTGACAGATTTAGAAAATCATCACAAAAAAGTCAGCATTTTTTAGTTTTTAGTGACAGATTTAGAAAAACATCATTAACACTTTTTGGACTTTTTTTGATGTGTACAAATACTTGTAGGACTTCATGGTGTACAAGTTCTTATAACAAGACCCGTGAGTAATCTCATTGAAGTCTTTAAAATTACATTTAAAATGAGAAAAGATAAAAGAAAAAGTAAAATAGTAAAATACACTAGTAATTAGTATTATTTCATTTAATTGTTTATACAACCTTTTTCTTTTAGTGTTAAGTGTTTGTTTATTTAGAATATTTTTTGATTTCTTATAATAAAAAAAAGGTAAAAAAAAATAGAGAAATAAATATGATCCAAATAAGTATATTTATTTAAATCACTCTCAAACAACTCTTGATTTTTTGTTTTTATCCAGGATAAAAGTTGTAATCACCACTAAAATGAAGATCATGTGTTCAATTCATTTATCAATCAAGGAAAAAAAAGTGAGGAAAGCCCATAGATTGACAGATTTTATAATTAATAAAAAAAAAACCTGATAAATAGGAACTAAAACAGAGTTATGGTATGAGTACAAAAAATTTTACCAAATATTTGGCCAAATATCTCACATAAGTGTAGGTCTCACAGGATCCCACATGAGTGAGGGACCCACACCTTTGTGAGATATTTAGTCAAATATTTGGTAGAAATTTTGGGACCTCTAACATTTTTGAGTAAAATAAAGTTCATAAATGGTCATTTGTCATGACATTTTCCATGAAACTTACCTCAAACAATCGAAGACAAAATACCAATATATGAGCAACTCTAATGCTGCTCTCTATTTTTTACTAGTTAAAATACAAAAAAAGATACTCTCTATTTACCTAACTACTTTTTGTTTATGTATTCCAATGCTACTCTTTATTTTATCTATTTATCCACGGTGGAAGGTAGAATTCTCCTCTACAGGAAAATCGAGATGATATGTCCATTCCCTTTACTCTCTCCAGAAAAATCAAAACGTCAATGATCACCCTCACCAAGGGTTGGTCGGGAGGACCCTCTGTCAGTCAAGTCAAAATATTGTTTGGACATGAATATTATATTTAAAAGAGGGTTCTTGAGTTGCCTCTGGTCTGTCCTCTTTACTTCACTTGTTTCACCTTTTATAGTTTTCCTGACTTGAATCCCATCTATTGAAACAATGTTCGATCCGATGGTTCTGCCTCTTCCTGGCTCTGGTCAAGCAAGTGGTCAATTTGCCTTTGTCTTTGATCGTTGGATCATCCTCCTATGGATGACAGAAATTATGTCAGATGTTAGTGGCCAACTTGCCAAGCATTGTGTTCATCAGATCAGGTTGCTTGGATGGACTTACCGTCTAATAGGCCTAACCTATAATCCTGTGTTTTGTTGTCTTGATGTTTCCACCGTTGGAAACGCTCCTTTTACATTATGTGGATCTCCCTCTAGAAGGAGATCTTTACTTTTTATTGCTCCTTACGCTCTTAGCCACGCGCCATCTTACTGCCAACTGCCTCTAATGGGACCCTTAAAAGACCTATAAGGGCCTTCTCTTTCTTTTGGGTCATTTGCCTAACTACCTTGCGTTTGGGTCAATATTTTATTCATCCACATCTACACAAACTGTTTAAAGAGCGTCCTAAAGCTCTCCAAAGGTAACTAGCTTGAAATGTTTTTGATAAAAACTAGTGTAGTAGCTACCCCGTTGGAGAAGGTAAAATATATGTGACAATGCTACCTACAATAACCAACAAGCCTCTTTCTAAATAGCCCATTGGAGATGCTCTATCAAACTAGCTATTTTCATTAGTTTTTTAAACTAAAAAAGTGAATAAATCACTAAATTTCAACTCCATTGAACTAGCTACCATGTTAATTATTTTAGTTTTGGTGATTTTGGCTCAACAAATGTAGTTACTAGTTTTAGATTGTCAAACATTATAATTTGAAATCACTTGTGTTCAGTTTATAAAATAAAAAATAATAATAAAAAAATAATATTTAAATAGTATAGGCAAACAATAAAGAGTTTATTGGAGAATATATTTAAAAAGTAAAAGATGTACCTATTGCACGAAACTCTCGCTTAAGCGAGATTTAGGGAACGGTTGGTGTATGCAACCTTACCCCCGCAAGCGGAGAGACTATTTTGAAGACTTGAACCTATGACCACCAGGTCACCAATGGGTAGCTTTACCGCTACCCTAAATCTGCCCGTCAGAATATATTAAAAAAGTATATAGTCAAAAAACAAAATTTAGCTTTTGAACTAAAATATAGTAAAATTTTAATTAGTTTGATGGAGATGCTTGGTGAAATATTTTATGTGAAAATAGTACAACATATAAGAGTTTTACGGATTAGACTTTTTGTTCACAAAAGTGAAAATTTTGTTACAAAAAAATATTTTGGGACCAATTCTTGTTATTATGAGGTAGTCGAGCTAAAAGAATAATCCCAAAAAGTCATAAAAAGAACTTTTAATGATAAAAATTTGAAAATGCCGTTAATAAATGTATTTTAGGAACAAAATAATTTGGTCTTAGACAAAAATTTGGTTCAACAAAATAGTAATTCATCACTAAATGTTTAATTTTGTCGCTAAAAATACAACAATGATACTTTTGACAATAAAAATATTTCATTCATACAAATTAATTTTATCCTCAAAATTTTGTCTTTAAAATTTTAATTTGTTGCATTGAAAGTTTGAAATTATTTCATTGTAGGATATACAAATGGTGAAAAAATGTTGTGATCAATTGATTTTGCAAGGATGAAGTAGTTCACCATCTTAAAGAAGCAAGGTCGAACCCTAAATCTAATGAGCAAGACTACAACACTTCTCAGCCACCATGGCATTTCAATTGCTTCGGGATGTTTTGAGAAGATGGTTAAAAGTTACTTTTTGATTTTTTTTTTACTTTTTTGTAAGAGATGAAAGTGGGTTAAAAGCTGGAAAGTGGCTTTTAACCCACTTCCCAAAATAGGCCTTCGTAGTTTTAGAATTAACATTATCACTTTAAAAGCACACAAATATATTGTACATAAGTTAAAATTATTCAAAAATGAAAATTATCGTGTTTTAGCATTAAAAAATAAATAAATTGTACATAGTCAGAATTACTACAGAGCAAGTGACTGCCCCTATTGAGTTTTTGAAGTTTAAAATTTTTACATTTTCAAAATTTTCCCTCTAATATTTTGAAAATATTATTTTTATCTATTTATTTATTTTTTATTTCCAACTCTAAAATTCTGAGAGTATTTTCTCTGTCTATGGTTTTAAAATTATTTTTGAAAATTTGGTTTTGCTCTTTGAAATTTCAGACACTGGCCATATATATTTGTGATTTTCTTCATTAAATAACAGAAAATTTGACTTTGCCCCAATCTCATACATGATTCTTGATCGTTTGATGAGTATCTTTTTCTTGAAGTAGTTATGCAACTTCAATGAAAAACTAGTTTGGAAAGGGACATATTTTGAACTAGCTCATTTCTATGCCGTGTGATTTTAGGTTTGAAAATGATCAATGTGAATCATTAGTTTGAGAATAGAAAAAGACTTTGCATGTTAATTAATGCTTAATACGCTTGAAACATTTTTAACTAAATTTCTCATGCGTACTTTTCACTTTCTTTTCTTTACCGAGAAAACATTTACGTACTATGTCACTCCAAAAGGAAAATAACACAGAAGTATCCCTTTTTTCTTTTTTTCCAATCTTCTTTCATATTTTAAATTTTTTAATGGAATCTCAAATTTTATTTATGGACCCTACATTTCTGTCTGTATTGATGTCGGCTAACTTTAAAAAATCTCATCTAATTTACTAGCAAATACAAGGCAAATGATCATGAAAATTGAAACCCTAACAATTGATGAATCCCTTCAAAAGGTCTCTGAGGCATTGAATCTGAATAATAATACTCTATTCATTTGATCTTTTCTTACAACCGTATTTTTGAAGAAAAAAACTAGTATCAAACAAATTAAATAGTTCAAATTTACAGTCATTCCGCTGAATTAAGGTAACATGATAGGTAGAACTGATTAAATGATAGCTTTTGAACAACTACCGATTCTTAGCATGTGTTTAATAGGATGTACCTATGTTGTATTTGGTTGAGGGATTTGAGGAGAGATTTAAAAAGAAAAATGAAAAAGAAGTTGAAATGTGAATAAAATATATTTACAATTCACTTAGTTTCACACATTTTTTCCTTTCCCTTTTCAAATCTCTCTCTAAATCCTTGAACCAAACACAGTGGAAAAAAGACAAATATGTTTTGGAAAATCAGGTTCTTGAACATGAATAATTTAACTGTATTATTAATTAGAAGTACATGTTAATTTATAGAGTTGCTCTCATTTCTTTTAAAGGGCTTACCATTTTTCTAGAGATAGGGATATCTTAAAACCCAATCCAGTCCAATGCAAAAGCAGTTCGAGATTTTGCGTAGAAACCACTTGATTGCTTCTCTCTCTCTCTCTCTCTCTCTCTCTCTCTCATGACTTCAAGTTTAAGTATGATTTTCTCTAACCCCCCTTTAAATCATCCAAAATTATTCTAAATTTTTTCTACTCAAACATCATTTAAAGTTATAACTCACCTATCTAAACAGTTTGGTCAGCTAATTTTGATATTTCACCGACAATTAACATAGCGCAGTTCTGGCATAATCGATCGTCAATGGGAGGCCAATCCTTGTGTGTAAAGCCAAAGTTGAGGAAAGGTTTGTGGTCGCCTGAAGAAGATGAGAAACTGTTTAATTACATAACCAGATTTGGTGTTGGCTGCTGGAGTACAGTTCCTAAGCTAGCCGGTGAGTTTTTATTTTATTTTATTTTACTTTACATTTATTTTTATCACTGATCAATTTACATTTTATTATTTTTATTTTAGAGATTAAATTTGTGTTCATATGTCTAAGCCTTTTGATTCATGCAGGTTTACAGAGGTGTGGAAAGAGCTGTAGACTGAGATGGATAAACTACTTGAGACCTGACCTTAAGCGAGGAATGTTTTCGGAGCAAGAGGAGGATCTCATACTTAGTCTACATGAAGCTCTGGGCAACAGGTATTCATACAAACAATGAACACAATCAAAATTTGAATCTTGGCTACAAATTTTGAATTGGGTATTCAAAATTTTGAAATGGGTACTATTCAAATTTGTAGGTGGGCTCAAATTGCAGCGCAATTGCCAGGCAGAACAGATAATGAGGTAAAGAACTTCTGGAACTCATGTTTGAAGAAGAAGCTAATGAAGCAAGGCATTGATCCAAACACCCACAAGCCAATAAACGATGCAGAAGTAAGAGATGGAAAGACTTGTACAGAAAAGTCATCACCGACTTCACCAAAACTCCGAGGACTTGGAATTGTATCAGCCTCAGCTGAAATTGACCAAGCATTTCATGTTAACAACAGCACAAGTACTTACTATGATGGCGGACTAACAAAATCTTCAAGAGAGCCATTTGGAAGCAAACCAATCTTCGATCCTCTTTTGCTATATGAATTCCAAGGCAGTGTCGATCCAATTGGGTACAATTCAAATCTTTTGGTGACACAGTATCAGCAAACGCTGAGACCTTATGATCAAAACCATCTGGAGGTAAGTCCCAACTTTGGATTCAATTCAATGCCCAATTTAACAAATTTTGATCATGGAAACATGGGTGAGACGGATTTTTCTGATAATTCAACCTCGAGAATGAGTTCGCTTTTGTTCAATGACGCAAAAGAAAGTTCAAGCAATAGTTCCATTGTAAGCAGCCACACTTGCTTTCAGATGAAAAACGTGGTGGAAAATGCAGCCTTTGCATGGGGCACCGACAACAAGTTGGGACCGGTGTTTCAGTGTGAATTGAATAATGGGATCAAATCTGAAGAACTGAATCAAAGTCCATGGCCAGAAAGGCAGCTTCATACTCACAATTCAGATGACTTTAGTAGTTATCCATTGATGTCGCTATCAGAAGATCCAACCGGGGCAAGCGTGGGTGTTTTCCAGCATATATAAACTGTAAATTCAAAAAAAGATAAAAAAATTTAACCTTTCTATGAACAGAAACACACACACATATTGATGGCACAGGAAACTCCTAGTAAAGGTTTGAGGTGAACATCTTTCTTTTTTCTTTTCTTTTTTAACTTCTGGCAATAAGATGACGTTTTGTAATCTCTTTATTTCACCTATTCTATTTGTTTGTTTCAAGAGTTGAATTGAAGTTTTCTACCGTTTTGACAGTGAAACTAATTTTTGTGGTTCAAATCTCTTCATGTAGTCACTCCTTAAGTTATCTATGTTACATGGATTCAAGTCCGAGTATTGAGTATAGGTGAGTATCTTCTAATTAGGGCCGGGTTATCAAACCTGTAATTAAAAGATATGTGAACACAGTAAAAAAACATTTAAAATATATATATATATATATAGTCTATTTTGTTGGTTAAAATGGTGTTTTTTATCTAACGTAGACACTATACTCAATTTATAGCGGTTATGCAACAAAAAATACATACATATAATGACCCTGTCAAATACTATTATATAACAAAATTGAATTGGGAGATGTGTTCGCCAAGGGCATATCTTGCTGGAAGTATTAGACACATCTCATACTTTCATCGCTAGTGTCAAGTATCAAATATGGGATATTTGAAGAGTTCATATAACAAAACTCATCATCACAAGAAGTAAAGTTATGATGTCATTTTCATGGCAATCTTTTTCCTTCTTTCACTACTTATCCTTTTCCACAGAGCAATTCTATCCGAAACCCAATCATTTTACCTAAACTTTCCAAATTTCTACTTGGATTTACAGTTTGCTTCCAGTTCCAGTTCAGTAGGTAGACGTAACAGATTGATGCATTCAACAGATTGATGCATTGTCTGAATTGGACCTACTGAACCAGAGAAGCCCCTAAAATTTTCACCAACAGAAATACCAGCAGAGTAACAGACTTTGAAATGCTACATTTGGAGTCTTCAAAAGATCTTGAATGTTACTTAGTAGTAATCTATCGACATTGTCAACTGCTCACTGCAAATTGCAGCTAGCTGATTCGCAAAAAAGAACAGAACAAACAGAAGATAGAACTGAAATGCTGTAAATTTCGTCAAACATGCATGAAGCTGATATTGAAACCCATATTCATGAATGGTTAGTAGAGGAACATTAGGGTCTAGTAGTATATAAAATGCATTATCTAAAATTACTTGGGAGTATTTCAAGATGTGGCCTCTGGCTCCAAGTAATGGAGGGAGAGAGAGAGAGAGAGAGTTGCTCTACAAGCACAACAATACAATGCTTGATTTAAATCATGGGTAATTTCTATCTCTTCCTCTAGGTGCAAGATAATTATGTAACCAGGAATTATCAGGCACCACCTCATGGATTTTCTCGGTTGCCAAGAAGATCATATCCACAATCTGCTACTTTGTCATCACCTGTTGCAGCTATCTCCGATTCGCCTTCAATATTAGAGCCAATCAGTCAATTACATTTGAAAGTGTGACACATGATGTGATACAATCTATGACCACACAACAGATTCAACAACTATTTAGTTCTTAGGCATCCAATTCATCTTCTTTCTTTCTTATTATGCTGATCTCACATCAAGAGGAGAGGAGCTCCTTCTATTGTTCATGGTCATCAGATGAGTGGCCTTCCAAACAAACAAACAAAAAAATCGATCAAAGCCCGCCTGATGCTCTAGAATGAGTATCTCCTGACTCCCCTGATTCATTCTCATTTTGAACCACCAAAACTTAGCTCATTTTCATTCAGTCTTTTGAAAACAAATATGACAAATTATGTAGTAATTATTATCAAATCAATTAAATTTTTTTTTTTTGATAAATGATCTACACAAGATTCTAAAAGAAACTGCATGGGTGGAGTGATCTCCCAACTGAAAAGAAGCTGCTAACATTTGGTGCAATAAAATAAATATCTGCAAATTAGAGCAAACAACAAAAATTACAAGGATTGATTAGCACAGCAATGCTATAAAGTAAAGCCCATAAACTGCCAGGGCACATGCTTAATTTTGAGGGAGGGGAATAGGGGAATTATCCAACAAAGCAGAAAGGACTACGAAGTATTAAACAAAAAATAAAAAGAAAAAGAAAGAAATACTATGAAGCATGGATACTTTGACAAACAAGTGGGCAATGATACTTTTGCACGAGTATCGGGTACACGAACATGAATCCATATTTTTCCTTCTTAATTTTTAGAGTATCTAGACTAATATATACTCAAGGGATACAGTAACTCAATCAGAACAATAATTTCCTCTAATGCAAAGGTAAAATTAATTTCATTGGACTTCTTTTATATTTTTATTTTCATTTTTATGCTTATCATGATTGCTAATTATTTAATATAATGACATTTAATTTTTGTTTATACCTTCAATTTTGGAATTGAATATGAACTGTAGGTTAGATTTAACAAATTAAATCACTTAACTAATTTTTTATTATTCTAAATTTAAAATAAATATTTTTTTATAAAGTTATCTAACCGTATACGGTACTTATTTTAAATTCTACCATATTGATTTACCTATATCATACTCATACCTGCACCCATGCCCACACATATAAAAAGGATGTATTTCAATAAGTGGTTGTTTGGTACATAACAGACTGCCGGTGGTGAGTCGCCATTCATAATAAATAAATAAATAAATAAATAAATAAAGCGGTCTATTATATAGTCTGTACTTATGGCCTCTTCTGCACTTTAAAACAATCAAGCATAGTCATGAGTTATCAGGACGGAACCGAAAATTTAATTTTAGAGGGATCGAGATATATAAATTTTATTTATTTATTAATTGTTATAAATTGTCATATTTCAATTTAAAAATAAAATAAAATAAAATAAACTAACATTTAATACCAAACTAATAAATAATAATAAAAAAACTAATATTTATTTAGTTTTAACATGAACGGCAGAAAAGTCATATTCATTCAACTTTAACATATAAATAAAAGAAAAATCATAAATTAATTAATTAATTTTTTTATTTTGTACATATCAACTCAATTATCTATTAAAGTGAAATAAAGTCTTCAATGGATTTTACATGAATCTCATTAATATCTAACCACTATAAGAAACTCGAGTCTTACAAAAGACACCACTCTACGGAGTTCTTGGATTGAATAGCTACTTGTTCTCGTCATGGTGAATAAAATGTGATTAAAAAATATGATTAATATAATATTATTGTTGAATTTAAATTAAAAAAAAACAAACAAACAAAGGCCAGAGGTCTATTTCATGTCCCCATTCTTTTGTATATCACATAAAAGCTTGTTTTATTTATTAAAAAAAAATAATTTTTTTAATATTTTTATACATTGGATGATAGCCAACAGGGGGCTATATGTAATAAGTGAAAAGTGTTCAGTAGCAATAGAACCATTCAAGCAGCATTTCTCACTTTGAATACGGGACCAAGGCCCTGATGGTCTATTAATAGGTCCGTCTCTGTGAATTATGACCCACAGACAGGTGATCGAAACCAACCGGTTCAGTAGCATTCACTAGGGGCCAACAGGATAATGCTCTCTGCCCCCTCCTTTACACAAAGGTCAGATCAGTAATACAAAGCAATACAATAGGAAGGTCCTAAAATGTCTGGGACAGAGACCCTTCTCTGCTATAGTGTTATGTTGCTTTCAATTTAAAATGGAGGGAGGCAGTTGTTTAACTCAACCAGATAAATTACTCAAAGTACTTGTAGTTGCGGACTCAAACCTACCAAAACTCTCAAAGGGCACTTTTCCAACTTTTAAATCTCTCTCTACACATGACAGCCTGTCCAACTACACCAATTTATGGTAACCCTTAAAACTCAATTTTATGATACCCAGACTTCTTCAAATCCTATTTGTGCATACATCCTTCGTTGCATGCATGTAAAGTATACAATCATTCTAAGAATCTTTAGGACTTATGTTAACAATATTTGAAAAAAAAAAAAAAAAAAAAAAAACAATAGGTTAGATAACTTTAACATAATTGCATCTTTTTTGAAGTAAGATTAAAACGATCCAAACTAAAAAAAATAGTGTATAACTATATGGATAAACAATGAAAAATATACATTTCTATCTAAGAAAGATGACAACATTATTTGTTTTATCCATATAACTAACTAGATAGTAGTGAAAAGAACACAAAATATTATACAAATTAAAATCTTAAAAATACTCAAATATAATTATGTCAAATCGATAAGACTCGGTGTATTTTCTACAAACTTCAAAGGAAGTTAGTGTAATTTATTCTTTTTTATTTATAAATTTTTCAAATATGTAATATAGTGTTTAATATAATTTCTATTTGCATACGTTACTAGATAAAAATAATAATATATTTTTTAAGAAAAGAGATCTTTTAGATGTTGTGATTGTGAACTTTTAATTTGGTAAGCACCAAAGCTTCAACTTGCAGAAATCGAATGTCCCAATCAAAAGAAGGTCACTGAATGGACCTCTATTATTATTCACTTGAGCTCCATTGGATACTGTTCCTGCATTATGATTCAATTGAACCCGTTAGGTACTGTTCCTATCACCACGTTAACGGATATAATTGGTTAGGATATAGGGCGGCAATTCCTTGGCCAACCTAGGAAAATTAGTTTCTCCATACATGGTCCCAATTAGATTCAGACATGGCCCAACAATAGATATGATCTGATAGGCTGAAGTAGATAGATATGGTCCAGTTACGTCTTTGAGTTCTATGCAGTTGCTGATGAAGGCCCAATGTCGCCGAAATGGCACTAAAGGGTAGATTTGGCATATCAAATGTCACGTGCTTAGTGTCCGAATGTCGTTGGAGCTGTTGGACCCTTTGATTGTGCTTTCGAAATCTCAAAGGCTGACCGAAATGCCTTTGAAAGGCTGCTGAGTTACTGCTACAGAAACGCCATCGGGTTCAGTTGGAGTCGAGTAAAACGATTATGATATTAAGGGTTGTGTCTAGCCCCTAACATCCTCCGTTTGAATCTACCAAATATGCTGCGAAGAGTAAGAAACTAATGCAATATGTGAAGTACACATATCTACAAAAGAAAGCCGTGACAGAAAATAAAGAGGAAGAAAGAAACTTCCCATGTGTTTTGAGCTTGTTGAGTGGATTGAAATCTCATTATGAATCGATATAAAGGGCTTTGGAGCCCTATTCTTGGTAAACCAAAATATAGTGTATGTTAAAT